GAAGCACTTGAGTATATCAGACATCTTGAGGAACTGCAAATTGTATCTATGATAAGAGAGAATTCCGGATTGTACTCCTTCGATTCCGAATTCTAGAGGGGGGGGGGCATTGAAAATTTTAAAAACTTGTAGGGGGGGCATCAAAATTTACCGAAAACCTCAACAGGGGCCCTGTAAAAATATGAGCTTTTTTCAAGACATCTTCATCCCCCTCCCTCGGTGTAATAAATGTACTTTCCCTAACTTCAATATCTTCCTGTCCTTCCTATGCTACTACTGTGACAGTTCGATCATGTTTTGCCTGTCGTGTTTTTGCCTGTACCCAATGCAGCTGGAAATTACAGGCCCCGTTTACATATGAGACTGAGACGAAGTCACAGTCTCGGGGCTTTAGCCCCCCCCCCCCCCCCCCCCCCCCCCCCCCCCCCCCCCCGCCCAAGAAAAATAAGTAAAACCCGTTCCGCCGCCACTAAATTTAGAATCATGGCTATATAGCAACGTGCAAAGAGAATGCGAATTTCGTAAAAATGGAAGAAGTACTCTCAGCCACTTGTGTCAAACAATATAGAAAACTGCCCTTTTGATCAAAATGAAAATATAATTGCAATATTTTCATCATTTCATGTTTGACGAACTGATGAAAAGGATTTCCTTTTTAAGAAGTCACGTCCACTGAACGGCGACACAGTGGGCTCTTGTTTTTTCTGTTGGCTTTTGCTGCCTTCTTGAATATTTTGGCGTGGCGCAGTCGTTTGTGTATTGCTATATTGCAACGTTGTTTTTGAAAATTCTATAAAAATCGAATTGTGCGAGGCATCTTAAAAAGGCCATGAGCTCCAAGTGTGCCGGTTGCACGAAGACGGTCTATCCCGTGGAACAGTTGAAATGTCTAGATCAGGTAATTTGCTTTTACATGAATATATCACGCTGTAAACATGACTCGTACCGCGCTACATTTTGCTTTCTTATTGCATCAACTACTTCCTTCTATGTAACAAATTACACAGGTTTTAACATTCACATGGTATTTTTCATTAGATCTGGCATAAAAAATGTTTCAAATGTGCTGTCTGTGGCATGACACTCACAATGAAAAATTATAAGGGATACGAGAAAAAGCCATATTGTAGCCCGTGAGTATATTTATGAATTTCTCTGTATTAATACTGTATATGCCCATAGTCATAGATTAGGATTAACGATACTATAGATTTGACGTTTAAATACACAAGCTGAGCTTTACGCTAGTTTAAATACTAGTACACATTCAGTATTACGTTTTAAAATCTTGGTTTAGGAATGTTTATAATTCGCCATGTTTACAATGTGTTAGGAGACGGCTTTTAGTCGAAAACAAAGACTAATTTGCGTGCTAAGTTGTGGCTTAATATCTGGCAAAATGATCTTAGAATTTCCGCGAATGTATTCTCATGTAGTGAGCGCAAAATTGAAAAGGAAAGAGAACATACACGCTGTAAGTTCAAGTACATTTGGCGAGCATTTATACTTCCAAATCGAAGGCCTACGCCTTGTTGAGATATCAAATGTCAGCTTGTTTGTGAAGTACATATACACTGCCATTTATGAAATCTCTATTAGCTTTATTAATTATTCAATTTTCGAGCCGATATTATGTCTTTATTGTGCATAAACGCTTTTGAAGTGTCTGTTCGTTAAATAAAGAACTCTTAATGGAAATATGACCAAATGAAGTTAAATATGATATTCTCATCAAATGAACACTTGATATTAATCGTGTTATATTGTGTCAAAGTAGGCTTTTCTCCAATATATATCCTACTTTCCTGTGAATTGTCTGTGACAATATATAGCAGCTTTCGTGTACAATAGCTGTGAGTGTGATAAAAAAATGAATTCCTTACATTCGTAATTCCTTTGAGTAGCTCTACTTGAAAATATTCTCCTTTTAAAATTGTTCTCTTCTGTATGTTTATACTATGCTATTAACGCTTGGGAATGTACATTAGGTTTACCCTTGATTAAAAAATGTAATAAAATACATAATTAATATTATGCCCATGAACATATAGGGGTGTCAATGGAGGTGTGGTGAAACAGGGACATATCCCCTTTTGTGCTTGGGAAATTGGTACACTATAAGACCTATAATCAATACTGATAATTACATGCTCAGCTGGCTATAACCTATACTATCATTGCATGTATTTCTGAAATACATTTCTCCTGCCATTGGCTTAACCAAAATTATTAGTTTTGAAAGGTGTAACATATTTGTTTTGAAAATGAAGGGCCTTTGCTACAATGAAAAATACAAAAATAACTTTCATGTTTCAAGGTAATTGAATCTTCTACAGTTAAGCGTGCCTATGTAATTTTCAAGCAGAGTAATTCTTAACCTTCACAAGCTTTCGTTGGTAGGGATGCAACTACCTGAAAAATATAAGCAGGGACGTACCGAGCGATTTCTGATTGGGGGGTAATGCAAATATATACAAAATTTGCAAACTTCACAGGGCTATATTTTCCTCATTTTACAACATTTTGCAACCAAACTTTGCAATTGTACGCATTTTAAGATGCTCTTTCCGGCTATGGTAAACGATTTTGTTCATCTTGTCTAGATCAAAATTAGGGATGAGCCGATAAGGAAAATTGCCAATTCCTGAGGCCGGTACTGCTGATTATTTAAAAAAGCAAGAGAAAATCACAAGATGACCAACAATGAAGTTGTAAATGTGGTTTTATTGTTTACAATACACACTAAATCAGCTTCAATCTCGCATGTCAATTATAGTCAAAGTTTAGACAAAGCCACTCATGTGAGACAAAAGATGCTGGTTTTGAGACAAAAGGCATGGGTTTTGCAACAAAATGTGAAAATCTATTCGCTTTATTCAGTATTTTAGCATGTGCTTGGCAGCTGCAGGAAAAGTCTTATGGCCGATTATTTGCAGATTATCAGGCAAATTAATTGGCCGAGTAACGATTATTTAAAAAATGGCCGATTAATCAGCAAAGCCGATTAATTACCGATTAATCGGCAGCTAGAATCATCCATTGAATTGAGAGTAATATCGTTAGCAGGGTGTTAGCCAGGCGGCTGTCCGACCGTTCTATGGACGGCCACTTCTGAATTCGGACGGCCATGGACGGCCTAAGGAAATATTTTCTTTAAATAGCAATTTACAAGCTTTGTAATATTTCTTGAATACTTCGAATTGTTGTCATCTGCTCAATTCATATGGCTGAATTGAAGTATCGACAAACGCGCCATGTTTTTGTAACCATGTTGATGATCCTCGCATGAAGTGCACACATGCTTTAGAGTTATAGTTACGGTAAAGATGGCTATAAAATGAGCCAAACGCATAAAAAAAGGGAAAAAATATCGGCGATTGACAAAAAAATAACTAAACACTACACTGCTGTATTGTGTTCTTCATTATAGCATATACTGTACATCGTAGTGATCATACGGTTCATACCATACGTGTGCTTTTACTAATTTAATGATGGAAATGTGTGCACATCTAAAAGTAAAAAGGTTCAACGAATAGAACACCACAATTCCACAACAACAAAAAATTGAGGCCATGCCCAAAAACATGTGACCACACCCACAAAAATTTGTGGCCATGCCCACAAAATTATTTTGGACGGCCACTTTTGAAATCCTGGCGAACACCCTGATCGTTAGCACTATCTATTGTACACTGGCACCGCAGACAGTTCAAGATTAATCCTTGACTTGACTGTTGTGTATTTGTGTAATTGTTCTTTTACAATATGATAATCATAAATCATTCAGATTAATCTTCACTATTTTTTTCAGTTAGACATGTTTCACAGAAATACAAAATACACTATATCTGCCTATCATTGGGTCATTCAAGAAAACAACCATACCACCCCCATGGAGGAAATTGGAAGTTAACCCCCCTCCCCCTTCGGATGTCCTAATACATTTACTATTATCAGAAACAATTTTCTCTCCCCTCCCCCTCCGGACGGCAGAAATTTCCTCTGTGGGGGGAGTGTGGATCTTTTCTGGAACGACCCATTAGGTAGTATGTGTATATACTGTACACACACCTGGTTTGTTGCTTGAAACAAAATTATTGTGGGAAATAGCTGGAAATGCACTTTCCGGCCTTGTAATTTTCAAAATTTCCTGGGCAGGGATGCCCCCAGATCCCAGCCCCCAGCAAGGTTTGTGCAGTGTGATCATATTCAGTATATTTTTTTACTTTTGGTAAAATTTCGACAATTTTGATAGAAATTTGGTAAAAACGATTTTTTAGTAAAATTTTGGTAAAATTTCTTAAAATTCAAGGATTTGGTAACTTTTTTGGTAAGATTCTATTAAAACGTTTGATGATGACCAGAAAACCCTGCAAAGTGCGAAGTACATGCATTCCTGATGCTGTGGCGATGGCTCACTTCTGAATTGGAGCCTGTGTTCTGTTTGCTCATTGCATGCTTCAGGTTACATCATTTAATTTGTCACCTCTTTTGAACGAATAACATGAAGTAGCGCGCGCAGCTGAAAATTGGGCATTTGACGAATTTCATTTCGAAATTGCAAACTTACATTTAAAAATATGGATTTAATGGATAGTATTTTGTCTGAATCAGACTCCGAAACTGATTCAGACAAAATACTATCCCCCCCCCCCCAGGAGTGGGATGGGTAAAATCCAAATCTGGTAAAATTTTGGCCTATTTCAGCCGTTCCGCACGTTGTAACCAATAATTTATTGGCGTTGTAATGCCATTGTATGCAATAAAGTATTGGGTTGTAATGGGTCTACAATTAATCCAAACGTTAATCCTAATCCAAACCCTAATCCTAACCCTAACCTCTAATCCTAACCCCACACCCTAACCCCTAACCCTAAAGCCGGCGGCCCGCTACAATGCATTACAACGCCAATAAATTATTGGTTACAACTTGCGGAACGGGTGCCTATTTAGTAAAATTTTAGCAAAGATTTAGTAAAATCCGCTGACAAACATCTGGTCACACTGGGTTTATGGCAAAACTATGAACTTACTTAAAATTTCTGCTGTCTGGAGGGGGAGGAGGAAATATACTTCTAATAATGGCAAAATGTACTCTACGATATCCACTGTGGGAGAGTTCTACCAGAGCCTACCTCAGACAACCTTAGCTTTACCTTGCATATGTACCTGTACTTCATATGTACCTTTACTTCAGCTTCATACTGTAGATTTTAGATTTCAAATTCAGCTAACTTGGCTTGATTCTTTTCATAGTGTACTGTATACTTTTCATACTTTCATAGAGTGAAGTTCTTGCTACAGAGTTCAATTATATTTTGAGCTCACTGATGTGGACTACTGTAACATAACCAGCCGAAGTACAAATAACATAATTTATTTTTTTATTTGTGCATGCCTAGTGATATTTTTTATTTCCTGCAATCTGATTGGCTGCAGCAGCGGGCAGCTTTTTACGATATCTTGACCGTGGTCCAAAAGAGTTCTTTTTTTAGCAACAAACCGAGGATTGAAGACAATTTTCAAACTCAAAACACTACCCAAAAAGTTGAAAAATCGACCCTATCTATACTAAAGATAGTAAAATACAGTGAATTGACTTCAGCGGACTTAGTGCCAAGCCTGAAATGTACTTTTCTCCGACCAAAATGCGAAAAAATAAATATAAACATCGAAAAAACACTGGCCAGTGCTACATGTTTTGATTCAAATGCTCCACATATATATATGTTATTTACCGGATTGGAGGTCCGTATAGAGAAATATTTCTGGAGGTCTTAAAAACGGCCGAAGGCCGAGGGCCGTTTTTAAGACCGAGAGAAATATTTCTCTATACGGACCGACCATACCGGTAAATAATATTTTTATTTTTTTTTAATTCCTCCTCTGGATTTCCCCAATCACTCCTCCCGCACGCGAATGAAGCTGCC